TATTCTGGGTCAAAGGTCAAATGAGGTCATTTGCACTGAAAGTGAATGCGCATCCATTCTTATATATCATGAAAACATGCTGAAAAATATTTAAGGTAATCATTTTTTCAATAAAAATGTAAACCGGAAATCCACGCGGCCTGCAGACTGGAGTCCAACAATGAAACTATTCAATTGTTTTTCCGACAACTAGTTTGATTATGTATAACAATCGTTATTAAACTAAATCGGGAAGATTTCGATTTGACCTTCGGTATCCCAGTCCCTTGACTTCATCATCACAAAAATTCGGCAAAGAAAAGTTTTTACATCTTCGCCGGTCGTTATTGATTTTCTTGTATCGGGCCAATTTCAAGCCTTCAATCAGGCCATAAATTACATTTCAGCTCTCGTTACTGGCTGATTTCTAACGAGTCTACATTTTGACGTCACGTTTAAGGGAAATAGAATAGGGGTTAACTTCCTACTGTTTTCGATTACTTAACATGTTCCCATGGTGATGTTAATTCATCATTGACGACAACAAGTGGTTGCAATGCAAGAGACGCCCACATTCTGCAAGAGATGGACAGAAAACAAACTAAAAATTAAAAGCGATTTTTCGTACAATCGTATGGTCCGATATGCGCGAATATCAAAAGGAATCCAAATCTTTAGGATACAAACATATATTTTAAGTTTTATCAAAATCAGATAAAAACTCTTACCTCTAGAGGGTTCACAACCTTGGTGTTACATACCTTTACACTATTTGCAAACAAGGAGCGGGTAGTTTGGGTCTGATTTTTACGTAATTCGAACTCAGTCATCTTCAGGATTTAAAGGTGATATATTTAAACAATTTTTAAAATCGGATAAATGTTGTCATCTACAGAGGGTTCACAAGCTAAAATCGCGATTTTTTTCGTACAAGGTTCCACAACCTTGATATTACATACTTTAACACTATTTGCGTACACTATTGTGTCCGACAGTTTCGGTCCGATTTTCACAAAATTCGAACTCAATCATCATTAAGGTGTAACGGTGATATATTTGAACGGTTTTGTAAATAAAAAAGGATGACCACAAGCCAAAAACGCGATTTTTTTTTACTATAATTTAATCCACCAAGTTGCGGTCCGTTATGCGACAATATCGAAAGGAAACGAGATCTTTTGGTTATAAACATGCATTTCAAGTTTCATCTAAATCGGATAAAAATTGACATCCAGAGGGTCCACAAGCCAAAAACGCGGTTTTTCGTACAATCAGGGGTCATAATCCATGAAGTTTCGATCCGATACATGCCAATATCGAAAGGCACCGAGTTATTTGGGAGATAAACATATATTTCGTCAAAATCGGATAGCGTGCCCACAAACAAATTGTGGACGGACGGACAGGGGCGTTAGGCGATATACGTCCACATGAAAACTCGAATGTTAATACCTTGGAAAGTATGGAGCCGAATCATTGCCATATTAAGAGAAAATATAGTAGTTTAAAATTGACAAATTATCATAGTCAAAATGGTAAAAATGGTAAAAATGGTCATTTTCGAGATTTTTCACTTTTTAATATCACATAACACTAAATCACTATATTAGTATCAAAACAAACCAAAAAAATCTAGTTATGTTTTTTCAAAATCACTATATTAGTATCAAAACAAACCAAAAAAATCTAGTTATGTTTTTCACTTTCTACTTTTCGCCTTTGCAAATTCACTCTAATATTTTCATCTTTGCATTTTCAACTATCAGAATTTCTCCATTGTAATTTCCACCACTAAAATTTCTCCAATCGAACGGACAACGGGTGTGGTTCCGGGTACAGCCGAAGTTGACGTCATAAGACATCAGTATTTATCGTCTCGGCTAAAATTACTACTCCATTGGGTTATTCTTAAGAATTGTCCGATTTTATTATTTTTTTTATTTTTTTTTTGGGAGAAATGAAATAAATTCATTGTCATGTCGAACCACTTTTTGTTTAATGAGTTATATCATCGAACCTTGAGGTTGGCTGCATTGTCTTAATAGACCGGATGAATCTTTGACAGCACATTGACATGGATGTGAGCGAATTTCTGGTGTTATATCTGAAAAAAGGTGAAACTACAAAAGAGGTGCCTGGCTGCCTTAATCCATTTTAAAAAAAGCTTTACAGTTATTAGACCATGTGATAAATTGCAAACAAGATAAACAGGGCAGGGTAGAGGGTATCATCTTTCGCCAGGAAGAGTTAATCCGACAAAGTTATTTATTCCACAAGAACAGTTACAATATTTAGTTGATAAAGATCTGTAATGTGGGGGTAAAATAATGCGAAACTAGAAACAAAAGTTATATTAATTAAAATACAACTAGAAACAAAAGTTGTATTAATTGAAATACAAGGCGGCCTAATTAGGCCTATATGTACCTCTCCAACAAGACTCAAGAATTGAAAAAAAAAACCTTATTATTGACGATCGGATGGTAACATGTTAGTAATAGTTATTTAATTTTAATCATTAGCATTTTATACTTTTGCAAAGCGGAATTTTTTTTTTAAAACATGTATCCGGTTACCAGTATGTAGGCCTAATAAGTTTTATGTGGTCTTCAATAAAAATACAGATGTGACGTCATCTTTTGATGTTGGCGTACAAGTACTTCAAATAAAGTACACCTCTATGGTACCTACAATTAAACAATTACCTACAAATAACATATTACGTTAAATATTGTTTTATATAATTAATTAATCACCAGGTGTTTTTATAAGTCAAAATCAAGTAGGCCTACGCCGGATCCATTCACTTGATTTGACATGCTTAGTGTTTGAAATATATGTGTAGCCTATATTGTGTGTCGTGTCCACGGGTTTGTATTGTGTAATTGTTTATGTGTGACGCGGTCCTCCTGCTCTTACTATTCTCTCAGCTAACCGAAGAACTCCAAATTCATCAGCCGCTTATATCAACGTAGATTTATGACGTCGTGTGCCCATAGTCCCTATCAGGAAGCATTAATCTTAGTCCAGATTGGATTGGAGAATTGTGATAGTCGAAAATCGGATAGTTGAAAATGCAAAGATGAAAAATTTTCAGTGAATTTGCAAAGGCGAAAAGTAGAGAGGGAAAAAACAAAACTAGATTTTTAGTTTGTTAACTTTTGTCGAGCAATTTTGTTTTATGGTAAATATCCATTAAAATGTATTAAGTGTTATATGATTTTTACATGTGAAAAATCTCGAAAATGGCCATTTTTACCATTTTGACTATGATAATTTTGCGATTTTAACCATGATATTTTCTCTTAATATAGCAACGATTCGGCTCCATAGGAAAATACAAGCTTAAACTTGCTATTTATAAATCATGTGACATCACTTGTGATAAAACTGTGTATTGTTAAATCAATGTATATTGACAATTATTTATTTTATTGATATTTGTTAGAAACTCAGAGAATCCTTGACTAGATCTGGACATAATCTGAACTAAAACACGGCCTATAGATTCTAAACTAAATAAAAAATATTATCTAAATACTTTCTGAGAAAGTAGGTATGGATTTGTTCTTGCTACCTTCCGAACATACACACAGGAGAGATTCGAAATATCCGGTCCTGTCCACATCACGCGCATCTACTATTTATATTCTAATTGAACCAGGTATGGTTAAACAAATAACCTTACCTGGGCTCGTGCCATATATCAGTTAGTTTTCAAAATATATTTACAATTGATGTACATTGATTTTATTATTATATAATAACCTTGGGTAGAAAAATAAACCAATAACATTTTCTCGATTGACTACTTGAAATAATCTATAAAAAAAATAGAAACGCAAATACATTTATAGCCTTTTTTTCTGTGGGCGAAACAGCGAGTTGAGGTCGAGGGAGCCATTTGGCGACGATGGATTAGCTTTATGACTCCATTATACGGGTCGATAACCAATGATGATCAGCATCGTGTAAACTGTGATGATTCTGATATTACAATGGGTTTTATTTATTGTAATTATTTGTCAATTGGTGAATTGTTATAGTTTGAGTTATAATTTCGACATATAACATGTTTGGTATTAAAAGACACACAAACATATGGGTAATCCATTTCGTATGTTACACGCAAATATATGCGTAATGTGTATCTTATATTAGGTCTACGCACAAACATATGGGTAATTTGTTTTGCATGTTACACATATGATATGCATAACCCGTTTCGTATATTACAGTAGTAATATAATTCGGCCAAATTTAATGCAAACTTTGCTTTAGGTATACATCGTTACAACATGCCTTTTGGGGTTTTGTTTATGGTCAAAGCTATTAACCACCAAATTAGAAAAGCCTATCTCTCAGGACCATGATATCTATTCAAATACTTCGACTGGCACCAACTGGAACATATTTTTGTATGGGGAACAAATCAAATGTTTTATTTTACTCAATCATGGCGTTTCGGAAAGTATACCAAATTTCGTTATCAAGCACAAATTGTGTTCTAAAATGTCACTTAAACTCAAGACAAACTTTCTTTATAGGCCTGTAAAACCAGGACAGGCTTTCTTTATTGACCTTTAAAATCAAGATAGACTTTTTTTTATAGGCAGGTGGATTTGATAGCCAAATGGTAAGCATGTGCGCGCTGTATCATAAGGCCTGTCATTGAGTCAACTGGCGTGGTTTCGATTCCCCGGTTGTAGGTGACAAGGAGTAGGGTCGCCTGTCGAGCCTCGTGGGTTTTCTCCGGATCCTCCGGTTTCTTCCCACTGCTAAAGACCCCTACGCGCACGCGAATTATTGAAATAAAATTAAACCATATGTCAGTCCCGAAATGACCTAGTCTGTGTCGAGTGGACGTTAAACCTTATCTCTCTCTCTCTCTCTCTCTCTCTCTCTCTCTCTCTCTCTCTCTCTCCCATTATGGGCAACGCAGAATAATACAAATTGTTATATTCTAAAGTTGTTTGTTTATTATTTTGTAATTTCATTTTTAGACTAATAATAACAGCTCATTTGGAAAAGATTTAAACATATTTAATAGATAATATCTTTAAAAACGATTGAAAAACAATCATCATTACATGATCAGTACAGTTCAATAATAAAATCCATTTTCATTCCCTCCACTAGATAAATTCATTCTTCTTCAAATCCTGTCTCAAAGCCTCGACTTGCGCATCTGTAAACGTCACTTCCGGTAGCCGTGCTGGCCCTAGGTTGAAGCCGAAACATTTCATGATGGCTTTCACCGAACCAATACCACCCCCTAAAATAAATAAATGATGTGACAATACATGCCATCTTTAGTTATTCATTGTGTTAGTGCTAAATGATAAGGCCATCTCAATTTTTCGTCATAGGCAACAAGATGTAAACAGGTCGTTGAGATGCAAATAAGGTTAGGTCAGTGCTTATGTGGAGACTTAACCTCACCCCCAAATTCTTAAACCTAACCATGGACCTAGCCCCAATGCTTACTCTAAACCTAACTTACAATCTCGCCTATAATCACATGCCCTAACCTTATTTGCACCTCAACGACCTTCACAAAAATTCAGCTGGCCTTAACAAATAGATTTAGCTTTATGTATTGTATAGTTTATTTTCTGATTTAAAATTATTAAAGAGATCCTCTTAAATTATGAATGCTGTATATTTATATCAATATATTTTCTATGCAGGGGGAATGCTCGATTGAACGTTTCGGAATTGAATTCTGTCAAACCTAAAAATAGTGACAATCGAGTGAAAATGGGATTCTGGGCTAGAACGCATGCGCTGACTGCATGAGAAAATATTTTAACCAACCATGACAGCTGAAACATATTCATTAGGTTTAATTACGTCACGATTCTACCCACGTCACCTCTGTTGTCGGGACTGACAGAACTGTAACAGGACAGAATTCCGCGTCACTCGATTGCAATTCCGTCAATTCGGAACGTTCCGGCTTGAAAATCGAACGCCCCCGTATTTTCTATCCAAGGGGAGGTTACTCTGTGATTTTGACAGCCAAACTATTTTATCTCCCCTATGACTACAAGATTTATTTAACATGTATATGACTGCTTAATGAAGTATAATAGTAACTTTACCATGGGCTTCTCGGATTTTTGATAATCGAATGGCTCTTTCCTAGAATAACAAGATTAAAATACATTAAACAAAGTGATAGCTGAATAATAGATGAGAGAGGTGTCCAATGGGTATCTTGCTTATTCGCACGACTCCTTAGCAGGGGAAGGAAAGCCCTCTCCGTGTCGAGAGAGAGAGAGAGAGAGAGATGGGTTTAACATCCATCCGACACAAACTAGGTAATTTCGGGACCAACATATAGCTCAATTTTCATTTCAACGATTTTGTTGCGCAAAGGGGTCTTTTGCAGTTCAGAAAACTGGAAGACCCGGAGAAAACCCACGAGGTTGGACAGGCTAGCCTACTCCTTGTCACGTACAACCGGGGAATCATAACTACGCCAATTGACTCAATGAGATACCTTATGCCACAACGCGCACGCGCTACCCCCCCCCCCCCCCCGCAGAGAGACATAGACTAGACAATGAATGCCGAAAATGCCGAAGAACTTTCTCGACCCACATAGGAAGCGAGCCAATAAACGAAAAGACGACTATTTTTATAAATAATCAAGCTTGGTACCTGGTGTTTTCTTGCTGTTTTCATATCGCCATTTTTATATGCTTCGTATAAATCATAAAATATTGTACCAACATAACCATTGACAATGGGAACGTCAACTCCTAGTGATAGTATTGGTAGAAATTGCTGTAATTACAATCAAATCGTAAATACAAAAATATCAAGATAAAGAAAGTTTGATTTATTTGATTAAAATCGTAACATTTTATAATGCAATTCCGTACTTTGAAATGGATCAACTTAGTAAACTTAGAAATCTGCGAGATACAGTACAGAAGCCAGAAAAATCCAATCTGATTAAAATACAGATCTATATTTCGTTTCGTTTTTTATACTTTCGATGGCCTACACTTCATGAAGATCTGACCGGTTGTATTGGAAGGTCGTGTCAGAGGTCACACGAGCGGCTGTTGACCCTATGACGTCAGACATTTGGTTAACCAATCAGCGTTTATGTTTCCAGTGGGTCACCCACAGTTCCGTGCACGTAACGCCAAATACTCGCCGTAACAGACCGTTTCATTGGCTAATTCCTCACAACAGCCAGAACGCGGGTTATATAACAACTCCTCTAGATCCTAGTGTAGTAAAGACAAGTAAAACGAAATTTTGAACTATAAAAAAACCGAAACGAAATAGGATCTGTATGTTAATCAGATTGTGAATAATCCACTCTATTTTAAGTTCAAAACTTAAATAGTTTAAGAAGAACAACTAAGTACTAGCACTCAAGAAAACTTATTCTCTGTGTTATTTAGATACAGGAAAGTTGATTGTTGGCCTTATAATCTAACACAGTCATATTAAAGTAAATAAACACAAGTGATACTAACACTGGTTATGAAAACAGTGTTTGTGTCGCCTTTGTTTATCTACTTTATCCAGTGAAGGATCCTTCGGTCCATTGTTTTGATATTCCTGTTGGACGCGGATTTTACACACGTTTTACACTCATACTGGGTAAGTGTTGGTTAGTAGTGGGTTAGTATTGGTTTGTATTGGGTTAATATTGGTTAGTATTGGGTTCATAATTGAGTGGCATTGGGTAAGTATTCTACTTTGGATGAATTTCACCTTGGGCGCACAGACATTGTGTCTTACCCGAAAAAGCTGGATCAAGCCTATTTTTGTGGCTTCCTCTGACATGACATGTTCCAGGAACAAACGAACGAACGTATAAGTATTGGGGTAGTATTGCGTGTTCCTTGTGAACTATTTAAAACAAAGTGGCCATTCATACCATTGAAATGTAGCCATTGTCTAATAATGGAACTTACGTCATCTGTACCTGACATCACTTGCATTCCATCAACTAATGACGTATCAAATAATCCGGGCATCTCACGACAAGAATATTTTGCTCCTTTTAAATTTGGAATTCTTGATTTACCAAGCTCTAAAACACGCCGGCAGTTTACTGTAGAAATAAATAAATAACAAATAAGTAAAACAGTGAAATACTGTGAGTGGGAAAATCTGATATAAAATGGTCTCTAAAAATACATTTGGTGTAATTGTCATTTCGATAATTTACCTACACATAGAGTCTTTGGGTTTGGGAAGAAACCGGGGAGGGTGGAGAAAACCCATGTTTGACACTAGAAATAGGCTATCGCAAGTATTTAGATGAAACATAGTAAGAAAAGGAAGGTGACATGGGGTTTAACATGCTACCAATCTGTTTCGTTTTTTTATAGTTCAGATTTCGTTTTACTTGCGCTTTACATCACCAGGTCTTGAGTCACGTGGCGCGGTTTCGAATCTACGCTTATATGTGACAAGGAGTGGGGTTTCTCTGGTTCTCTACCACAGCTAAAGATCTCATACGCGCAGACGATTTGTTGAAATCAAATTGATCCGTATATGTTGGTCCCGAAATGTTTAATGCAATTACAATTGCACCGTTTCCATGTAATCGGCGAAAACAAGCTCGAAACAGCCTCAACACGGGTTATTAATCGTATATCAGGGACGGAAGTTACATATTCACTCATATGGTCTGTCAAAGATACTTCCTTCTCTCTTTCTCCCCCTCTCTCTCGCTCTCTCTCTCTCTTGTTCGCGTGCATGCAGTTTTGTATATTAATAAAGTCACAATAACAATATGTGCTCTGTGTACACATCGGAAATGTATGCGATCAAAGAAACCGTATAGTGTGGATATCCAGCCACAGAAATTCAAACTATGTTGTCCCCAGCGACTCGCTGAGTAGTCTGGAATCCATAAGAAATCAGAGGTCGGACGCCCGTCCCGAACTGCTGACCCAGATCTACCTGGCAAAGGGCAACCAGATAGTATTGACATGGGTCCCGTCGCACTTCTACCTTAAGGGGAACGAAGAGGCGGACAGGCTCGCCCTAAAGGGGTCACAATTGGAGAAACCTAGCGTCGAGCTCCCTTATAGCATGAACGAATTTAAAAGCATGGCCAAGTTACGCGTCAGCTCTGAATGGGAAAACTCCCTTGTGGAACTCGACACCTTTAGATTCAGATCCGATGAGTCCTTAAAGGCTAAGTTATCAGTAAATCATCCCAGCAGGAAAATCTGCCGGTTAATAACAAAGCTGAAGGTGAAAGAAACTCTCAGATATCGCACATTTAAGCCTATAAGGTGCAGCTGTGGCTCGGACGTGTCTCCTACCCATATTCTAGTAGACTGTGCTCGCCTCTCAGCCGAAAGGAAACCTCTCACGGATAAACTGAGTTCCCTTAACACGGCTCTCAGTGTTCCGAATTTACTTTTTCCAAAAGTAAGCAAACACGAAATCTATGAGTTAATCTACGAATTCGTGTGTGAGATCGGTATCATTGATATGATGATGTGACCCCGCAGAGACGAAAAGAGTGTTCTACTCTGTGAAGATTTGGGGGCCTACCCCAAGACCCAACGGGCGGGATCCATAAGTGATCATCCCGAGGGCTACTGCTAGTCGGACGTCCCTAAGTGAAGGGATGTCGGGTATCCTGTGGGGGGCCGTTTTTTGTCTTGGTTCTGGTCCAGAAACATCGCTGCATCCCTGAACCTAGGTCGGACAGGCGGCGGGGCCCTGGGGCCAGGCTGACAGTCCTACCTACCCCTACCCACCAAAAAGAAAGATCGTAACATTTATGGCCAAGCGGACCAGACTGCGCCCGCTCGCCACCCCTTTTCTACCCCAGAACTTTCTCCGCTCCTTTCGATGAGATTTTTAACTTGGGCATTCCCTGCTAAGACACTATGTCTCAAATTAAACTGGACCAAGCCTAATCCATACGGCTTCCTCCAGTAAGTTTCTTAGGAAACATCCTTGTCTACGATATCACCTTAGGTGGAAGTGGACGTAAAACACCAGAAACGAACGAACGAACAAAGCGCATTCATTCTCTAATCTGTTCCTGAGTGAGGAAGCCACGAATTTTAACCCCTACATAATAATTTGTATTAAAACTAAAACAACTGATAACTTACAGTATACTCCCGTAAGGAAATTGATATCATAATAATAAAATGGCACTGTAGGTGCTGCGGCGGCTATAGGCTCCAGAAAACTCACGACTGCCTCTACAAATAAAGAAAAAAACATTTAAAAATAAACTTTTATTTGGTTTAAAGGAGTATTATGAGAGATTTCGATAAAGAGATGGTCGTTCTCGCTATATTTCAAAAATAAATAATGCCAAATGAATATATTGAAAACCTCAATCAAATTGCATTATTTAGGGTGACGTTATCAATGGTTGTGGCTTTGACCAGATGTTTGCATTGATCGTAACCAAAGTCAGGTCTTTCGAGTCTCACTTTCAAATTAAATCATTAAATAGCCAATCCGTTCTAATCTACTCAACATCGGAGCCCTCCGATGCCACCGACAGTTGATTGCGGTCTTTTCATGTCTAATTGATAATTTATATAACTTTTAAGGTCCAAAGAAAGACCGGCAATATTTAGCTCTTACATAATGCCTCTTTTTAAGTATTCAGGTAAATATCTTTCTACTTTAATGACTATAATTTACAAACATTGCAGACATGGCTAGACCTATGGAAATGAAATGGGTTTTAACGTCCCACTACGAGCTCTAGCTGGCTGGTTACCCCTGGCTTGCGGTCGTGGTTTTGATCTTTGGGGAAACTTCTCAACCTCGTAAGATTACTTCAGCGAATTCAGGTTTCGGAATGAAATGAAATGAAATGGGGTTTAACGTCCTACCGTTCTGCTCCTAAACTGAGCTAATGAAGACGGGCATACGCCATACAGTGTGATATGAGGGAAATTTTGCCCAGGCAGCGGCACTACGGCCTACTCTTAAATCGAATTCCAACTGCCAAGGGATCTTTTACGTGCACGCCAATGTGTACACGGTACCTCAGTTTTTCGTCCCATCCGAACGACTAGACAGCTGTCCTTGTCAGGCCCTCCATCCTGCATCATTGACAAGGGGGAAACCACGCCGGAAAATCTGAATGAACTTTCTCGGCCAATGCAGGAATCGAACACCTGACCTCCAGGGTAGCGAGCCAGCGTCTTACCCACTTAGCCACGTGATCCCGGAAGTGGAAGTTAAACACTAATAGAGGAAAATTGGACGACGGTTAAGCCCGAGTGGATGACATAGGCCTCTCGACATGACTGTCCAATCATCGTACAAGTTTAAATAAAATTCTCTCAGAAAAATATATATAAAATACCTTCAGTTTTAGCTTTAAAGAACGACGGAACCATGCACGCGAATGCATCAACACCGACTTTACCAGCATGGGCTGCCTGAAAGGGGAGAACAATGAATTAATACTCTTACTTCTAGAATAGGAGCACGGGTCGTGGTTTAAGAAACACTAAACTTTTAGGTTGGTAGGAATAAAATATTTTGTCAGTCTGATTTGGGAACACCTGAACAATATCTTGTGGAACGCTTGTGGCAAAAAGCAACCACAGACCCCAAAACACTAAGTAAAGAATCTTGTGAAATGTAGTACCACATGGAAAGGTGAGGGGCTCTGAGAAGACATTTTGTACAAAAATAAAACAAATCCAATATCTTGTGGAACTCTTCTGATAAAAAAAAAGTATTGCAAGCCACAAACACTTAGAATGTTGTTAAGTCGGAAATCTTGTTGAATGTGGTGAAAAGTCGAAATCCGATCTTTTCAACCGTCCCTACGATCATTGGGTAACATTTGATAAGGCTACAATTATTAAGGACCAGGATTGGGTTACATGTCGAAATTTCAGATATTGCCAAATGATTACTGTTACACTTATTTTGTAATATTTCTCATCGGGCAGGATAGTAGGACGTTACGCCCATTTTATTTCTCTTGTGGCGAAATCGCGTGATATAGGTCGGTGCAGCCAAACGTTTGGTTTAAACATAACTTTATTCAAGAGCGGATTGGATAAGAGGATTGATTGGATAAGAGGATTGAGTGTATTTATTCCTTCTATAACACCTGATACCACTTCCCGTTTCAGTTCAGGTGAGAAAGCGTTGTTGTACTTTATAAACTAAAACTTACAAGTTCGATTGCTTCACGCTGGTTACAGCCTCCAACATGAGCAATAATCGTCAACCTAGAAAATATACATTATTGTAATTACTAGGTACAATTACATAACTTAATAATTCCAATTAGTCGTTAAAACTTATAGTTTATTAAGCTTTCAATGTTATTTTATCTGGATTATCGCCCTTCTATATGACGTCATTCTCAAAATAACGTCACGCCACTCAATCAGAAGACGGCTGTCTTTCGAGACAGTCTACCTACATTTCCTATTTGCTTCTTTGTATTCAGTTTTGTATTTGTTTTTGTGACGGATGGAACATGTGCCCTATATGTATTCAATATACCTCGATTCCATTGAATACTGAAACGTTTCTTGATTGATTTTAGAGCATTTAGGTTTAGACTACTTTTTTATACATTTCACCGATGTGGTTACTTGTATAGTTGAATTTTACTACAGTACATATGCTTACATTCGTATTTCTTGTAGCATATAGCAGATCATGACTCATGCTGGCATTACACAATGGTTTCTTGGGGTTGTATTCCTGATTGTTTTCAAATTTGAGTGAAGTCTGTGTCACAACTGTACAACTCAGTGGACGCTTACGGCTATCTCCCGGATCCATTTACTTTTTTTGAATTGTTTGTCTGTTTGTGTTTTTCTGAGGATGATGTCTTGTCCGTGTATTTGTTTTTGTGTAAATTTTGTGTGGTGCAGTCCCCCTGCACTTACTATTATAGAGGTTTCGTGATTGGTAGTGATAGTGCACTCCCCTTCTTGATCTGCTCTATGTTCAACATTTCAGTATTAGGGCGGCTATACTGTAGCCGTCAACCACAAAAGACACAGTACAATCACAAAGCGACAAGGCACTTATACACAGTATATTAGACGACCCAAAAACTAAGCCTGAAAACATATTGCCTCCCTTGGTCATAGATAGAAATGTGCTGTACTCCAGCGGCGTGATATACGCTCGTATATATAATATGGAAATTAGATGATCATGGCGTTTTTAGCGTTGGATAAATAATATTCAATAATTGTAGGCCAATTTGTCTAAGCTTCTATATGTGTGATCTGATAGTCCATGTTGCTTTATGAAAAGCTTCAAAATATAAGAACTGCTTCAATGTTATTGTTTTATTTTTATCTAATATTTGGTGCTATGAAATCTATTGATCTTCTTCTCCTCTTAGTGTTTAACGTCCGCTTCCGCCGATGGTAATATCGTTGACATGATGTCTTATTTCTCCTGTGGGAGAAAACCAGAGTACCTGATGTTAACCTACGAGGTCGAGAACTGGGGCCTGTTTCACGAAATTTTAACTAAGATAAAATCCAAATTTTAGTAATGTGATTGGATAATATTAGATTGATTTTAGTGCTTAGCCAATCAAAACTGAAGTATCTACTAAAATTGGATTTTATCTTTAGTTAAAATTTCGTGAAACAGGCCCCAGGGCCCTATGTACACGTCACAGTCTCTCACAACCCGAAGTCAGAGGTGACCCGCCAGCGCAAGCTCGCAGCGCGACACACTAGACCTCTACAGAATCTACGGCATAAAGGGGGACAACTCGATACACCCTCTAACGGAGGCAGACCACCATTAATTTCCCCATTGACTTCAATGTTAATTCTGGCCTCTTTGCCCACCTCCAACTTTTCCCCAAATTTTCGTTGGGCTGAATGCTTTTCACTACAGACAGAGGAACAAATGGTCATGTCTTTGCACTAAAATTTGTATGAGGTTGACCACCAAAATTTTGAGATACACAAACTTGAAGAAGCATACTAAAAACATGTAACTAGTTGCCGTACATATCGCCGTAGCTAACCTGATAACCCACTTATCCTTCCGCCTCAAAATCATGAATATTTACCAAAATCTGGCAGAAAATGTTAATTCAAACCCTCTTCGTCCATTCTAGACCAAAAAATCAACACAAATGGGCATGCAAAAGGGGAGAAAAGAGAGAGAGAGAGAATTGCTATAAATAGACGAACTACAATTCGTGGGTACCGAGATGATGAAATTTAATGGTGGTCTGCCTCCTAACATCGGTGCGCACAAATACCACCCAAGAATCGAAATAAAAAGAAAAAGGGTTAAGTATCCTACTGATTTGCACCAGAAAGGCGATGGGTGTCAATTTTGCTCGGACAATGGCGTATCCACGTGTTCATCGAATTTCATTAGCTTCTTCGACGTGGACATCAAAGTGTACCCGGAAACTCAGTTATTTTTTCTATCCGAACAGATGCCGTTCTAGTAAATTAAATGAAATCAAATGAAATGGGGTTTAACGTCCTACTGTTCTGCTCCGAACTGGTCTAATGAAGACGTGCATACGCCATAACGAATTCCAACTGTCAAGGGATCTTTTACGTGCATGCCAATGTGTACACGGGACCTCGGTTTTTCGTCCTGCATCACTGACAAGGGGGAACCACGCCGGAAAATCTGGATGAACTTTCTCGGCCAATGCAGGGATCGAACACCTGACCTCCAGGCTAGCGAGCCAGCGTCTTACCCACTTAGCCACGTGATCCCCTGCACCACTAATAAATTCCCGAGGCAGTTTCTCGGCCAACACCGGGGTTGAACGATGGAGCTATAGGTTAGTGCACCAGTGCCACATTGGCTCGTCACCTAAAATTTGACCTCGGTACTTACTTCCCTTTAGCTCTGTCTATCCAGAGTTGTGTAACAGCCTTCCTTTCTTCCACAGTCAAAGAAGGTCCTTCACCATTTGTGCCGGTTGCTGGAAATATACAAATATAATTTTTTTAAAAATGCAATTAATGCGGTTACGGATGTAGAAAAATGATTGGGCTGGAGAGCAATACACACGACCTTATCCATACAGCCCACCATTGTCACAACTTCTTTGGGTGGCATTTAGACATTAACTAGTAACACGCTAAAATTAACTATATATGAGAGAGAGGGAGAAAGAATTGGGGTTTAACGTCCACTCGACACAAACTAGGTCATTTTGGGACTAACACATGGTTCAATTTTATTTCAATCATTCGCTTGCGCGTAGGGGTCTTTAGCAGTGGGAGGAAACCGGAGGACCCGGAGCAAACCCACGAGGTTGGACAGGCGACCCTACTCCTTGTCACATAGTACCGGGGAATCGAAACCCCGCCAGTTGACTCAATGACAGACCGTATGATAGAGCGCGCGCGTGCTAACCATTCGGCCATCCAACCCCCCAACTATTTATGATATAACTACATGTATTTACTTGTTTATTAACTTGCATCATTTCGACGATGATGCTAGCCTGGAGGTCGGGTGTTCGATCCTTGCATTGGTCGAGAATGTTCATCCAGATTTTCCGGCGTGGTTTCCCCTTGTCAGTGATGCAGGACGGAGGTCCTGACAAAGACAGCTGTCTAATCGTTCGGATGGGGCGAAAAACTGAGGTCCCGTGTACACATTGGCGTGCACGTAAAAGATCCCTTGGCAGTTGAAATTCGATATAAGAGTAGGCCGTAGCGCCCTTCACGGGCAAAATTTCCCTCATAGCGCACTTTATCACGTATGCCCGTCTTCATTAGCCCAGTTTAGGAGCAGAACAGTAGGACGTTAAACTCCATTTCATTTCATTTCGACGATGACACTCCCGTCTTTATCAAGCAAATGATTTAGTGTGCCACCATGGTCATGTTAGACGGATAGTCGAATACTGATAAAATATGTAAAGACACGACATACTAGATATACAGTGTATAAAATTAAATACATATGCATATACATGTTAGATAATTTATATCCCCCTAAATAATCTCGGTAGCACGTTGGTTTTAAAGAACAACCAGGTCGTTAAATATACAACAACTTGATATTCCAAGAACAAACCCCATATCGTGTGTTGATAGGGCTTTCACTGTAGCAGCACCAGTCCTAGGGGTGATGATTTTCTGTTTTCGCAAAATGGGAATACCGTTTCACAAAATGGGAATTCCGCTTCACAAAATGGGAATACCTTTTCACAAAATTTGAATACTGTTTCTCAAAATGGGGAATACCATTTTAAACATTGTGAATTCCATTATTTTCCTTACTTGAAATGGAACTTTCCGTTTTATCAGTTATATGTAATGTCTATTTCCAAACCTAGAAATTGAATAAAGGGATCTCGCATCGCATATAATAATGTAATATGAATAGTATCAGAAATATCATACCACATAACATAGCAAGTGTTTACATGCATGGGTAAACTGCATTTATGAATAATTTAAAGGAGCTAAACCGCTAATACTTGCGATTTATAGAAATAGACACAAATGCGTCACAACGCATATAATGATGCACTATGAATGTATATAAACTGATTTACATTCAGTCGTTTCTGTTTTCACTCTTATTAATTATGTTTGGCGAAATACGCCAGAAGTTTCAATCGAATGACAACCTTTAGTCTCTAGTTATTTCAGTCTACACCGATAGTATTTATTGCGTATGCTCTCCAGATAAGAATATGACGTCATCGTTTGACATGACATATGGCATATGTCTAGCGTCGTTCTTCGAGTCCCTTGTTACAAATGGCGCTGAAACTCATAAAGACAAACGTATTTAAGACAAAATAAACATTTTACAATTAAAGACCACAGGGGAAAAACTGGTGATGTCCACATTTATGCTTTGATTACTTCCCCTGATTTTACCCCTTGGTCCCTTCTTTCTTCTCTATAAATATTGTATGGAACAACTGGACATACCACTCTCTACAGTGGTTTTTTGAAAGGCATAAAATGGAAAAACTGGTGATGTCCAAGTCAAATCAAATGCCCAAAATACACCATAGGAATGCTATGGGAGTGTGCCCCAGCTTAAATGTTCTCACTAAATGCATGATTCTTTATAGAAACTTGCAATATTTTAAAAAATAACTCTTCCAAACTGAAGAAATGAATGTTTAAATTGGAAATTTCCATTTACTCAAAAGTCAGAAAACGTGACATCACCAGTTTTCCCCCTGGAGTCTTCAATTGGTACACGAATCGGAATCGTGTACCAATTGTAAAATGTTTATTTTGTCTTAAATACTGGATATCTGAATGACATCTGAAACCCATCTTTTCCCGGTAAGATCACAACATCAATATTGAAACTGACAAATAATTCGTGTTTTCAATGTCAAAAACTTTGGATGATATTGAGTTAGAGACTTATCTACTTTAAGTGTCGATCAACGTATGTGATATCGTAGACAATTCAGTGCCCCCGGCTAACCAGGGCCGAGTTCACCCCGCATTCTTATACCTAAGTTAATAAATTACTAAAAATTGTTCGGCTTATTTTAATTAAAATGTAGCCCTTTATAAAGCTTTTGTTGTTTTAATGTATCAAATACAACAATACGAAACTTTGTGCTAAGTTTGTGTTTCTGGATCAAAGATATTTCTCATAAACAGTGATTGAAAGTTGGCTAAATCTTCAACTTAAAGGAAAATATTGGTGTCAGTCATTATCACATATGTGATAGAACTAATTAAACACGTTCCAAATATAATTTTAACACAGAGATCATTGCTACGATAGCTGAGTAATACAGGTTTCCTGAATCGGAAAACACGAGTCATCCCTCTATATAACTGACTGAAGTGATAACAGATACATGGGCGAATTTCTGCTCACTAATAATTCCTTCGAAGACCAAAAGTTGTTGTGTGAGACAGGGATCGAACAGGGATCGAACACGCGACCTCCAGGCAAGCCAGTCAGCGTCTTACCCACTTAGCCACCGCGGCTCCCAATACTGTTATAGTGCACCTATATAATATGTAACTTACTGTAGACACCGGTTATTTTCATATCTTGTAGAAATTTGATATATCTGTCCATTAGATCGGGATCGGTGTTGATATCCCTGTAAAACAGGATTTCTTTAATTTCTAATCATAATGTATTACGTTAATTACATAAAAATTTTAAAAAAACAGCATTAGTACACATTATTTCACGTTGGTTTTTAGGTGGTTTAATTACTTGCACGTTGAAAAAATATTGGTAAACAGAATTTCTCGTTGGTTTTTAGGTGTTTTAATTTTGTTTAAAAAACAAAATAGATTACTATTGAAATATCATTAGCAGGCCGTTTATATTTATGTTCCTTCGTATTTAACACGATTTCGAAAATATTTTTTTTTAAGAAATTACAGAATTGAGTAAACGTTACAAAAACTTAATAACACAATTTCACGCGGACTTGTGAAAAGAAGGTCTAAAAATGCGTTTAGTTCTTCAAGACATAAAATTATCCGTTAAACTTTGCTGAGACGAGTTAATAATACACAATATTAAATTTAAAAATTACCCGTTTGTTTTGAAAGCAGTACAGGGTGCGGCAATGATTCCAGTAACTTTATAAGAATCCATTTCTACTTTCGTTTTTAAATCTTCATATAATCTGTAAATAAAACGAAATATAAGTTTTATCATTACTTGGTAGCTTTAAACTATTCTTAGCTGTTACTTCGTAGGCTTGCTTCCTCCGTGGGAGTGTGTGTGTGTGGGGGGGGGGGGGGGTGGCTGGTCCAATTGTTAGCGTCTGCGCGCTGTATCATAAGGTCTGTCATCGAGTCAACTGGCGTGGTTTCCGATTCCCCGGTTTTACGTGACAAGGCGTAGGGTAGTAATTTCGCCTGTCCAACCTCGTGGGTTTTCCTTGGTCCTCCGGTTTCCTCCTATTGCTAAAGGCCCCTTTCCACGCTAATCATTGAAATGAGATTGAGCCATATATTAGTCCCGAAATGACCTAGTTTGTGTTGAGTGGACGTTAATCCACCCCCAACCCCCTCTCTCCCTCTCTGTCTCTCTCTCAGCCGTAGTGCCGCTTTCCGAGTAAAATTTCCCTTACGGCAAACTATGTGGCGTGATGTAGGTATTATCCCAGTCGATCCGCTTCTAAACCATAAGATCTGTCATTGAGTCAGGTGGGGGGTTGTACGTGGCAAGGAATAGGGTCGCCTGTCCAACCTCGTGAGTTTTCTCCGGATCCCCCGGTTTCATATCCAGACACCGCATAATACAGCTTTTGGCACTGGTCCCCACTTCCAGATTAAGACTGACGGGTTTAAATTGTTTGAAAACGTATCAAATATATTGAGTTAGTTGCTCGGCCCTAAGGTAGAGGATTTTATGTGATTTTAACACAAAATTAACCAGTTTTATTCTCCAAAATATTATCGGGATTGGCCCTTTAATATCAGGGGCGGATCAAGGAATTTACTACTATAGAAAGTCATTTACTACTATAGAAAGTCATTTACTACTACTATAGAAAGTCATTTACTACTATAGAAAGTCATTTACTATATAGTCATTTACTAATATAGAAAGTCATTATACTATTAGTCATTTACTACTATAGAAATTCATTTATCATAAAACCCAAGGATTAGACTCACCAACACCAAAAAGCAGCGAAATCAACTTTGTATATTAATCTAATGTATTGTATGTATTTTTAATAAAACTAGGTAATATCACGAACCAAATTTACATCATCCTAGGTCAGTACTTATGTGGAGACTTGACCTCACCCCCAAATTCTTAAACCTGACGTACAATCTCTCCAACAACCACGCGACCTTACCCCATTAACATCTCAACGACCTTGAAAAAAATGAAGCTGGCCTTAACAAATAGATTTATCCCTCTTTAGCTCCTACTTCTGTTTGTGGGGTATGTCGATATATAAATAACACGTATTGCTATACTCTGGAGTTAGCCTACCCATAATAAGTTGTGTCAACGTTAATATGACAGTGTATAAAGAACTAAAAGTGAATTATACAACTAACCTGAATAAAGATTTTACAAGCCGTCTACCATTGATATACTATATAGATATATATATATATATATATATCACTGTGTGTCACATGACACTGATAACAATATACATATATAAAGAACTAAAAGTGAATTATGCAACTAACCTGAATAAAGATTTTACAAGCCGTCTACCATTGATATACTATATATATATATATCACTGTGTGTCACATGACACTGATAAAAATATACATATATATATATATATATATATATATATATATATATATATGTAACCTTGACACAAGCGATTATCAACCTAAACATATGCCACGGGCCCTTGGGATGTAGTGCAGATATGATATCGATGCACCGAGGAGGGTGCGGATTGGTTAGCAAGTGCGCGCTGTATCATAATGTCTGTCTTTGAGTCAACTGGCGTGGTTTTAATTCACCGGTATTACGTGACAAGGAGTAGGGTCGCCTGTCCATCCCCGTGGGTTTTCTCCGGGTCCTCCCGTTTCCTTCCACTGCTAAAGACCCCTACGCGCAAGCGAATTATTGAAATAAAATTGAACCATGTGTTAGTCCCGAAATAACCGAGTTTATGTTGAGTGGACGTTAAACTCCATTTCTCCGTTTCATACTCGGTTCTGAACCATAGTAGCCTACAACCGTATTTGTTTCAAATTACTTAAAGATACATTATGGGAGATTCGATAAGAAGTTGGCAGTTCTCACTATAATAATTAAAAACTAGATAACGTAAAGGCAATTTGCTGAAAATTTCATTCAAATTGATCCACTATGAACCGAGAACTAAGCGAATGAAATTTCTACCTAGCCTCGGTCATCATTACTAAAGTCAGTACGATAAACAGCATAGTCTCAATTATCCATTTAATCGTTTAATCGAGAAGGAAAGTTATGCAGTAAATCGGCTCACAATCCACTTAAGATCGCAGGCTAGCGATGCCATCTAGAGTTGATTATGGTCTGGATAAGTTAATTAATGTCTAATTAATAATTTAGATAACATTTCAGGCCTAAAGAAAGACCTGCAATAGACAGATTTAGCTCTTGCATAATGTATGTTTAAATGACAGAACATTATGTGCGTGTCTCTCCACGTATTTTAAGTTATCTTTCGAGGAGGACAATCCCTCTACTCTATTTTTTTTTACACGAAGAGAGTGCGTTACGCTCAAAGGTTTATGTCAGTAATACTCATACAATAAACTAACAATATGAGTAGATAATGGCAATATCTCCCTGACGTACTTAATCAACGTGTTAAAGGGACTATCCCGAATTGAACAGAGTCTCAAAATTAAAAGTCCGAGTACGTATGAAAGCTAAGCGCCAAAATATAAAGAAATGGTGTATTTACCCTGTCTCAAAATTTCAGCTCAAAATATTGAGTCATTTGGACGTGAACGTCAAAACTGCTTATCCGGACACGTAACCCTTTTAAGATTTTGGGTCAATTCTTTTGTTGGGTGACCTGATAATCGATTCCCCTTTCTTTAGAGGTTTATGCAGTGAATGACCCATGTGCTATACTTGATAACGAAAGGTAAATTTCACCTACACATTATTTTTATAAAATAAAAGGCTGGTTTTATCCAGACACCGCATAATACAGCATTTGGCACTGGTCCCCACTTCCAGATTAAGACTGACGGGTTTAAATTGTTTGAAAACGTATCAAATATATTGAGTTAGTTGCTCGGCCCTAAGGTAGAGGATTTTAAGTGATTTTAACACAAAATTAACCAGTTTTATTCTCCAAAATATTATCAGGGGCGGATCAAGGAATTTTTGCAGGAGGGGGTTTGTCAGGTTCCTGAGAAAATGTACCCCCCCCCCCTCCTTGAAATTTTTTGAGAAATACATGGTCTCTATCGTCATTTTGGCGTAATGTATATGCATACACATTGAGCTTTTTGAAACAGATAAATCCAACAACATTTTTATTATGAATTAATAAGATTACATTGTGATTCAATTTTAATGATGCAAAGCATTAATTGTGATATCACATATGCCCATCCTGTCGCACCATCTGACGATAAAGGATAAAGGACAATTATGACACATTTCTCATAAAAAAGGTTGTTTTACAAAAAGAAATTATGTAGCTGAGCGCCCCCGCCCCCCTGGAACCCGCCCCTGTATATGAACAGTGATAAAAGCAGTTGTAGATTATTACTGTCATGGTGGCTAAGTGGGTAAGACGCTGGCTGGCTAGCCTGTGGCACGGGTGTTCGATCCCTGCATTGGCTGAGAAAGTTCATCCAGATTTTCCGACGTGGTTCCCCTTTGTCAGTGATGCAGGACAGAGGAGCTGTCTAATCGTTCGGATTGGACGAAAAATCAAGGTCCCGTGTAAACATTGGCGTGCACGTAAAAGACCCCTTGACAGTTGGAATTCGATATAAGAGTAGGCCATAGTGCCGCTGTCTGGGCAAAATTTTCCCTCATAGCACACTGTATGGCGTATGCCCGCCTTCATTAGCCCAGTTCGAAGCAGAGCAGTAGGACGTTATACCCCATTTCATTTCATTTATTTTGTTATCTTGCCAAGGGAGACAATCCCTCAAGTAATAAGGTTTTTTTACAGACTTTGTATATCTTTTACATGAAGAGAGCGCGTTACGTCCATAGTTTATGTGAATAATACTCATGCATTAACAAGATACAATAAACTATCTAACAATAAGTGTAGTTTAATGGTCGAGTGCGAGACATTAAAGAACAATATTGGTGCCAGTCATTATCACATATGTGATAGAGCTGGTTGAACACATTCCAAATATAAGTTGCTATATGGGACTGTAAGAGGATATCTGACAATTCATAAAAAGAATTGACAGCCACTAGATAAGAGAACACGAAAGAAAAACAGAAAAAGTCCGTGCATTACCATGTTTTATAAGGTACAGAGACATTCAATTACTTTATTGAATTTTTATTTTATGAATTGTCAGATATCCTCTCGCAGTCTCACACAACAACTTTTGGTCTTCGAAGGAATTATTAGTGAGCAGAAATTCGGCCGTGTATCTGTTACCACTCGTCACATCAGTCAGTTATATAGAGGTATGACTCGTGTTTTCCTTTGGCGTTCGTCACTTCCGATTCAGGAAACCTCTATTACTCAGCTATCGTAGCAATGATCTCTGTTTTAAAATTATATTTGGAATGTGTTTAACCAGCTCTATTACATATGTGATAATGACTGGCACCAATATTGTCCTTTAAAGTAACTAAGTCTCTAACTCAATATCATCAAAAATCTTCGACATTGAAAACACGAATTATTTGTCAATTCAAATCAACATTGGTCTTGTGATCTTACAGGGAAAAGATGGGCTTCTGATATCCAATATTCAAGACAAAATAAACATTTTACCATTGGTACACGAATCGTGTACCATAGTGCGTTTTAGTGTCATTTGCAACAAGTGACCAGAAAGAACGAGGCTAGATATATTCAACTGGAGAGCCTGCTTAATAGACTGGAATAACCAGACGCTAGAAATTGCTATAGGGTTGAGACACATGCTGTATTTCGCTGGACATAACTGATTTGAAATTAGAGTCAAACCTGAAACAATTGAATGTAAATCAGTTTATATACAATCAGATCACATTATTATATGCGTTTCGACCCATTTGGGTCAATTTCTAGGTCCCAAATATTAGCGATTTAGCTCCTTTAAGTAATATATCGATATTGTACGAGTACGCTAGCACGAGTGCAATATCTGAATATTAGGCAATGTCTTGCACGCACGTCCAATATTGCAACAAGTATAAATAATGTACGCTTGGCACATTGCCCGTACCATTATTTCAAATAATGGTACACCAACATCAAAGGATGACGTCACATCTGTATTTTAAGTGTAGGTAAAGGCGATATCTCCCTGACGTAATTAATAAACGTGTTGTATAAGGTATATATATGTACAGCGATAGAATCAATTGTAGATTATTATTACCCACCTCCGCGACCATAACATCATCTTACATTTGAGACCATTCATGTATAGGCAACAGAAATTGACTGTATAGGTCACGTATTATATTAAAGTTTCTGTTGCTCAAATATCTCTGTCAATTTATTATTACGCCCATCATCATTCAGACCGATGCGCCTTTGTTTACCCGGATACCCGTGAATAGAATATCGTTTACACTCAACGCACCCAAAGTCTCTCTCGCTTTGATTTGATTGTATAGATTCATGTTGAATTTAAATTGTTGCAAATAAACATTCTTTCATAAAGTGGCTATCGAGTGGTTTGACGAGCACTGACTGGGACAAAATGCACTCTCCCCCCCCCCCTCTCTCTCTCTCTCTTTCTCACGGTTCAATTTTATTTCAATAAATCGCTTAAGTTGAAGAAAACCGGAGGACCCTGCGATAACAGGCGATATTGGACTTGTGACCCTACTATAGTTTGTGTGGCGTGGGCGTTAAACATCATTTCTGCCGTAAATGAAGTCAAAATTAATTTACCAGCGGGAGATGGGGTTTAATGTCCACTCTACGGAAACTAGGTCATTTCGAGACTAACATGGTTAGATTTTATATCAATAGAGGTGTTTTGTGGTGGGAGGAAACCGAAGAACCCGGAGAAAACGCACGAGGTTGGAGATGCTACTGTTATAGTACATATTTTGATATACATGTATTTACTTATCTTAATTGATTAATTGCTTTAAAGTGGATAAGTTAATCTTTACTCCGAACCCTGATCGTTCTAATCTGGACGCACTGTCTTATCTATTTACCTTTTCTACACAACAATCTTAAAATAATTTAATATTACTTAACATGCATCCTAGTCATTGATTTAGTATGTACCTATATTTGAGTTACGTCTCAGTAATGTAAATATGTTAATTTATATCACATTTTGTATTATATGGTTAACCCTTATCATGTATATATATGTTCAAATAATTCTAGTGTAATTATTATTAAGATATTAAGTTGGCGATAGCGACTGGGTAGAAATATAAGAGACGAAATACGAACAATTATGTTCATTCGTTAATAAACCCAGATC